GACCCTCGGCAGCTCCAGGAGCACCCAGGGTCACCGGGACCCTCAGGATCCCCCGGACTCCCGGCAGCTCCAGGAGCACCCAGGGTCACCGGGACCCCCTGGACCCCCGGCAGCTCCAGGACCCCCAGAACCCTCCAGGGCCCCCCAGGACCTCCAGCATCCCTGGGGCCGGGGTACCTGGGATCCCAGCATCCCTGGTGTGTATAGGGATAGGTGCAGGTATAGGTGCCTCCCTCATGTCCCCGGCATCCCTGGCACCTCCAGCACCCCCAGGCCCCCGGCACCCCAGGGACCCCCATCAGGGGCTGGGTGTCCTTGGCACCCCAGGGACCCCCATACCCAGTGTACCCAGGGACCCCGGCACCCCCATGCCCCTGCCACCGTCTGCTGGGGGACAGGGGGGCAGTGGGTGGCCCTCGCCATGGCTGCCCCCACGTCCCGGTGACGGCAGAGCTGTGCCGAGCACCGCAGGACAACACTCGCCGTTCGGCACCGTGAGGACGGCACGGGCCGGGCTGGGACAACCCAGGGTGCCCTTGTCCCAACCCTGGGCCCTGGAGGCGGTGGCAGTGCTGGTGACGGTGACTGCAGCCGGGCAGGTGACACCGGTGCCTGCCACAGCCACCCCGGCGGTGTTTGCCTACGTTGTGCCAACAGTCCTGGGGCAGAACCGTGCCACCCAGCCACCCTGTGACAACCCACGGCAGCACCGGGGTGTCCCTGCCACGGGTGCCCCTGCCCTGGGGAGCTGCCAGGGCTGGGGCAGGAGCGCAGCACAGTCTTTGTTTTACCATATTTCCTCAAAGTTGTTTGGCGTAAAACACCGGCACGGCATGGCTCCCTGCCCTCGGCACAGCCACAGAAATGTCAGCTCGAAAGTAACAGATTGTCCCTTTGTTCGGCGCAGAGCGGCCTGTGGAGCTCCCTCCTCCGCCCCTGCCGAGGGAAGGCAGCGAGGTGGCTCCGTGCTCCTCGTCACCGCTGTCCCCTTCAGCCACCGAGCACTGCCCTGGTCGTGGCCACCTCTGGCCACCGAGCATCCCCGTGGTCATCGTCCCCTCCGGCCACCGAGCGTCCCCCCCCAGCTATGGTCCCCTGCGGCCACCGAGCGCCCACCAGCCACAGGCTGGGCCAGGGCGCAGGACAAGGAGCAGGGACGCGCTCCAGCTGGCGCAGCCCCGGCCACGGGGCGCTCCCGGGGCTGGCTGGCACGGCAGGTGC